GACCGGACTGTGGATATAAAAAATTCATCAATTTTTCACACCGAGTCGTATCTAGATCCTAAACGACGTTCGATTTCTTCTATAAGAAAAAAAAAAATATATATATATATCATAGTGGGGTGGTTATAGAGAGCGTGACTTGCTTTAATAGATTATTATATATTTGTATGAAATGAATTTGTTTATTTTTTCAAGATTGATTGTTTTGATATACAATAATTGAACTAGTTATTAAACTTATTAAGTTGTAAAGCAGGTTTTTTTGAGTAATTAATTAAGTATTTAATTAATGGGTGTATAATTTCTTTATATTTTTATAGTTTAGCATACTTCTACAATTACATAACTGTATTTTTCATTATTTTTTTCTCCTTACAGGGATGTGTTGTCATGTGATGAGCTTATCTCAGGATTAAATAGTTTTATCTAGGAATAATCAGACTTACGGATTGCCACTTTTTTTTGTTGTTTTCTGTTTCGGTAAAATGTCGTCGATGCTGTAGACTGTGGTCAATGTTGATTTTCAATATGTGTTTATTAAGAACTGGACCTCAAATAGGGAACAGCCATGAAGGAATGTGAAATACGCAGCTGTGTTTGTGATAATGCAGTTCCAAGAAGCAATGCCATCATGGCCAGTCAAGTGCATGCAAATCCTGTGTATGTTAAATGGTTTTTGGATGCTATTAGAAAAATTAAACATCAAAAACAAAGACCATCACTTGACAGAATATGCAATGCAGTACGTCAGTGTCATAAAGTTACCAAGGATTTACTTGTGGAGCAGCTTGAATTGGCTGTATCTGATGGTGCAATCCTTAAGGTAAGATTATAATTTTAAGCACTGTTTATTTATTTCTGTTTTAGAATTATTTTGTTTTAGTTGTTTTATTCAATGTCTGTTTATTTCCTCTTTGGTGTCAAGATACATTGTGTTTAATGATACTAGAAGCTATTTCCATTTACAACAATATTGATCATTCATAGCTATGATAAGTGCATAATTATATCAATTTAAGAATTATTTTTAGGAAGCAATAATTCCAAGGTTATTAATTATTGATTAAGCTATCAAGTAATCAATAATTTTTTTTTTCTTTTTTCCATTGCCTCATGGCAACTCTTTTCATAAATAATTATTTAAAGTTTCAGTTTCTGGAAAATGAATTATTTTAATATGAAAGAATTATGCATTATCAGAATAATGAATATAAAATGTGAATTAATTTAAAAATTTAATGAATATAAAAAATTATAATGTAATTAATTTTGATATCAATTATTTAGAACTGAAAATTTTATCGTATTGCTACAACATAAATGTCGTCTTCTTTTTATTTTTATTTTGTTGTTCTATTTTTTCAGAATAGTTATTACAGGAATTAGTAACAATTAAATTATACAAAAACTATAATTGATTGATTTTTTTTTAATACTAATTAGTAAATAAATTATTACATTAAAAACAAAATTATTACTAATTTTTTTAATGTTTGGGAAATGTATTGATTACTTTCTTTTGTTGTGTTTTTACTATAAATATATATAGAATATTTATCGGAAATTAAAATTACAATACAATAAATGCAGATAATGTGTGTCATAGTTATCAATTACAAAGCGCAGTTTGATTTAGTATCAAGCATGTAATGATTCATTATTATTAAATATAAGTTGATTGCATGTTTAGCCAGTAAAACAGCTTTTATTTTTATGTAAATATACACAAGGTTAATTTTAAATTGCACTCAAGTATTGTATTGATAATTGATTAATAGAGATATAAAAATATAATTACAGGAAAGTGAGATGTTATCAGACTATATACATATTTTATTATTTATTTATTTATTTGTACTATAATAGTAAAGTTTCATTATTAGAAATTTATATATATACATTATTAAAATAATGATTTACTTGCATTACTTTATTTAATATTTAAAATTTTATGCCATTAGAAACATGTTTTAAAGAAAGTACTTTATTTTTAAATCAATTTTAAATGAATTTTATCTTTGAATTCATTAACCAATATGCGTTCTAGAATATTTGTCTTGTTATATTTTCATCAGCAATTATATTACAATAAAAGAAAAAAGAAATTAATTTTCTAAACATTTCTTATAAAATAAAAAAATGTTATCTATAATCCTATTTTAATAATTCAATTAAAAATAGAAATAAAATTTAATAGATCTTAAATATTTTCCTTGCCAATTCTGTCAATATATTAAAAAAAAAATCCTGAAATAGGTTTTCAACAAGGGAATGTGTTCCTACAAAGACCCCACTCGGATGTCCGAGCTGAAAAGCCGCACTGTTAAAGTGACAAGGAATACAGATGTGTTCAAGTTGTTTCAGAAAGCTGTAAGAGAGCTTGGTGAATCCGGTGGATCTACTTTGCGTTCAATAGAAAAATATATAAAACAAACCCACAATCTTCAGATAGCATCAGGTGTAGACTTCACTAAACAACTCCAAATAGCTGCCAAGAAAGCTATTGCCAGTGGTCATTTAATTCAGGATGGTCGCTGGTATAGGTGCAATAAAAAAGGTGCAAATTTTATTGGAGAAAATTCAGAAAATGGGCAGAAATGTAAAACAGAATCTAATAACACACAGTCCTGTAGTGGAAATAGAGCAACTTCTAATTTTTTGCATCATAAGGTAAGTAAGATGATCAAAAAAGAAAAAAATAATCATTTAATATCTAATCATAAAATAATAAACATGCATGTGCCAGAATAAATTTAAAAATTTTTCAACTAATTAATAATTCTCTCTAGTTAAAAATATTTTAACAATTAAAATATTAATTTTAAGCTTATTATTCAAAAAGAAAGAATTAAATTCAGTTGGATTTTAAATAAGTTAAAAAATGAAAATATTTTGTTTGTATATCATTGTCATTCCACAAGCATTAACCTACAGATGGTTAACTCTAAACTGATGTCATCAATAAAGCCGGTAGAGGAATCAAACAAAAATCAAGCAAGGAGATTTTAATTAATAATTTTCAATATTTTTTTTATGTGTTTATAAATGAGAAAGTGAATAAATTTACAGTTTGATTTGTTTATAATTTATCATTTGAATAATAAATGAGCATTTCTTTTCTACAAAATTTAATTAAGTTAAATTCAAATAAAATTCCTTAAATCTATATTTATATATATATTTTTTATTCTATACATAAAAAATGGAGTATGTATATGATATATCTACCTTGTATAAATATATTTATATATTGATTGTTTCTTGGGACAAAGAAATAGACTGAATATGAAATGAGATGATTTTTTTCTACTAAATAAAAAAAAAATCAGTAAAAATTTTATGAAATATTACAGAAATACATCAGATTTGATATAAATTTTACAATCTTTATTTGAGTCAGGTTTGTGAATACATAATTTAGGCAAGACCCATAATTTTTCACTGACAAAAATGAATGATGGTTTTTAAAGTAATCTCTGAATTTTTGCTTAGAAGTTAGAGCGATTACTATCATATAAAGGTGCAAAGAACTCAAACACATTAATTTCCAGTTTATCACATAGTAGTTCCTTTTATTATTTTAAAGAGAATCCCAGTTAATCATTTAAATTTTACTGAGGTTGTCATTTTAATGCCATTTTAACAACCAGGCAACATGCTCTTCCAAAAATTAATAATTTGAGGATGGTAGACATAATATATTTATCCAGCTGAGTAGATAATTTGCATTAGTTGCAATTATAATTTATAGAGAGTCTGTTTGTATATATATAAATATAATTTTAATGAACTTAAAAATGTTAACTTTGCAACTAATTTTTTTCTTTTTTAAATTAGGTGGCAAAATTAAAAATTAATTAGTTAATTAAATAAAGTCAGAAAAGTTACATATAGCATTTTTAAAAAGAAATAATATGTATATGTTTATATACATATATAATTATTTAATTTTTTTTGAATAAATAAATATTCATAGACTTGAAATAGGCTGAGAGTAATAAAAGTAGAAATAATTTGATGTTATTGGAAATGATGCAGTTTGGCATGAATGAAGTGGAGCCATTAAAAGGAGCCATTAGTTTTTTTCCTTTAAAATTTTTTTTTTGTATTTTTTGTTGTAATATTTTTATTGTAATTATTGTCGGTATATAGTAGTAAAAGTCAGGTCGATCGGTCTTAGAAGAAAATTGCCATTCAACCAAAGAAAAAGGTGATGAAGGTCGTCAGAATGACTTTCACCTGCGGGACCTCCTGTTTAGACGACCCTGAAACTTTAGTCGCGCAATAAATCATCATACCGAGTCAGTTTTTTCTCCCCTACTTTATTTTTCTACGCAGACGAGATATAAGCCTGTTGTATGAGCATCTGCACAGAGACGGATTAATGAGTATTGCCAAACTTAGCGCTGAAGATTAACTGATAACGATTCGCTCGCTTATAGGATAGACTCCATTGTTTGTCACTGTGTAACTGGAGATGGTTTATCAGAAAGAAAAGCCACTGATTAGATGTTGCGAAATTCGTTACTCGCCTGACATCAATTCCTAGTAATGCCACTCGAGAGCGCGATTCACGGAATTCTACTTTTGTTTTTTAATAAATGCAGTTTAGCAAGGTATTTAATGTTTGTTTTTTTATTGTACTTGCACCCCCGGTTTTTTAAAAATAATCTACACCTCTTCTGTTCTTTCAAATAGATAAAAGTGTGCGTCTTTGGCAAGACAACAGCAGTGTTTTCTATTCTCGTGCATGCTAAGGTTGGAGTTCATTGTACGGCGCGTCGACCGGTGCAAAAACTCTCCCCACTAATTAGGTATCTGCCATTGACAAGAATACCCGGAATGTCACCCACTAACGTTCCCTTTAATGCTGGCATTATTAGTTTTTCTCCCCCTCATTCTTGTTGTCCTTACGACCTTGGTTAGTAGACGCTTGGCTTGTCTTGTCGGCACCCAAGCGCCAATCGAAACCTCTTCTGTGTTAGGGTAACTGGGTGTGTCGTGTAAATCGCCGTTTCCTCCCCCTCTGTGACTCACATGCATATCGTGATTGTTGCTTCCGTGCCGGACAATCGATTTTTACTATCGCCTCCGTATATTTGCTCTATCTCGTCCCCCCTTCCATTGTCCCTCTTGCCTAACGTTTAGCAGCAGCTCTTTAGCTAGCTACCTTTTATGCCTTCTTAAACAAGATACTTTATTCATATATGGATATTCTATTTTTTACTATCCCCTGTCGGAAAATTTATTTTTGTTTTCATTCCGTTAAACGAAGCGACGAGCGTGAGCGTTTCGATGGTATGTGCATGACAACAATTTGGAAGAGTTTGCAGGAAATAGCATGTTTTCTGGACTCGAGCCATCAACTTTTATACAAGCTCGTTCCGAAATGACGATGAGCAGACATTGGTAGGGTGGCCAAAACTAACCGAAAATCATTCTTTCTGACTGCCGTTTTGCCGTCGGAGATTTATTTCCAGACTCGACCAGATCTCTAATTGCTCTGTTCCACCCCCATCCGGCCCTCCGACATCTCTTTTCATATTTAAAAGAGGTGAATATTATTTAATTCTCTTTCGGGGAAAAATGTCGAAATAACTGGTAAAGGGCTCAATTGGCTGGTTAGATTGAGGTCAAACTGCTTTGTTGAAACGAGATCACAAGAACATTCAAATCGATGATAGAATTCCTGCATTTTCTTTTGTTGCACCACTTACGGTAGTTGGTCAACGTCCAAATGTCTTGACAAGAGTACCAGCGAAATAAATGTACAGAATCAGTATTCCTTTGTTTGGAAAGATGTTCAATTATATTGTAAGCGGTCGTGTTTCATCGCACAATGCTATTACGACTTTACTGAGAATAACAATCTCGCCGCCCATGTCTGTCTTTCACCAGGTGCTACAGACGGTTTTTCAAAAATTTAAATCACTTTCTTTCCCTTCTTTCCCTCCCGCCTTCATCTTCTTTCTGCACTCGTAAAATTAATTTAGCGTTTTTCGAACTCGTTTATTTTTAACGAATTAAAATGTCTTCGCGATTTTATGAAATATCTATTTACTCTCATCGCAATACGATTGGGAATTTGTTTAGCTACCGGGGTGTAAAGAGAAGCGTCGTGTGAACTAGAGGGGGGGGGTAATTTTTTTTGTACGGTAGCAACTAGGTAAATTTTCAATCAGTTTCTTGATGGTTGTTAGAAGGGGAAAGTAGAGAGGAATCGAATAAATAGTGATAGTAAGAAAATTGATACCCTTTTTTGTAAAGGGATATCGACTAAGTGTTGAGATAGTAAGAAAATGATGTCCCTCACTTTTTTAAAAGTATCAAGAAAACTGCGATAATAAGATGATGATATCCTTTATTTTTTGAAAATAAGAGCATTTATGGGTATTTGTATATATAAAAAATAACACAAAAATAAAATTATTGCTTTTAAAAGAAATGATTCTTTTTTTATTGTTTGTTCTTATTTAAATAAATAAACGGTTTCATTTGTTTCTTATTATTCTATTTAAAAAATACCTTCCATGTGTTAGTATATGTTTAATAGCATTCCTTTTAGCATTTTTTCTTACATAATTAATATTTTCTTGTTTAAAAGTGTCATTTTTTTAGAGAGAGTTTGGTATTTCTTTCTAAAAAATAAAGGAACTCTGTGAATTTGATATCCCAATCTTCAAAATTAAAGAGCATTGTTTTCTTGCTATTTATTGTAGGATTTTCTTTTTTAAAAGTTAGGTCATCATTGTTTTCTATTTTTTTTTTTTGAAGAAAAATATTAAGAACACCATAAGAATATATAAAATTCCTATTTTTTAAAAGGGAAAAGTCCAAATCGATCGTAGGAAAACGAAACCCCTTTACCTTTTTAAAGAGTAAAATATCAAAGAAGTAATAAGAAAATGAGCCCCCCCTTATTTTTAAGGAGGCAAACACGAAGTAAATGATCCCCCATTTGAAAAAGTAAAGAGAAGGATCAAATAAATATTAAGAGAAACGACGTCTGCCTTTACCATTTAAAAAGTAAAGGGAATCGTCATTTTCTTAATACGTAATAAGAATTGCGAACACGTTTCGACCATTTTAATGTTTAAAGAAGATGAATCCAATCAGTGTTCCAAATCATTTTCAATCGAAATCCATGCTTACTTATCAACTGCTACTTCGTAATTACTGCGAATTGCCGGGAGGAGTTAGAAGGGGGCACGAAAAAAAAAGCAGCAATTTAACGCAACCAGTCACTTCATACGTCGTCGTTGGGTCGATGATGGATCATGTCCGTCTTCAATACGACGCGCCATTACAGTGACCTAACGTGACTGCTTATTGTTAAGGGGATGAAAGACGGTCAGGAGGGAGTTTGGACTAGACTAGGGGTCAAATCCCAGATGAATCGATAGTATTTGCCGCTTTCCACTTCTCGAAACCCGTTTTGTGATGAATGCGTATGTCTCTAGCTCACCTACCTACCTATCCACTCACCCCGAGCTCTATTGATTTTCCCTTATCTCCGTGAAATCAACGCTCTCTAAACGGGAGACATATTGGCTGCATTCCCATCGAAACGATTCTCGTACGTCACACAATCTTCACTTTTTTTTTAATAACATTATTTTCTGATAGTTAAAAAATGGCGATCGTACTAAACGCTGAACATAAATCATAACATTAAAAAAATCCTCCAGTTCGCATCGTTCGGGGGTGATGGCGGTTAAACAAACTTAGCATTTAGGAAATGTGTCTCATTTTCGACCGACGTCTCCTCACCCACCGGTGGATGTTAGCGTGTACAGACGAACGTGGCATTGATGAATGAGGCTGCATAGAAAAGTTGGGTGTGCGTGGTGCACGTGATGTGGACCGTATTACCGGACTGATGAAATGTCAATGATTCCCCGTCCGCCTCTCTCCACGTTTCTTTTCTGTTTAAAGTTTGCATTCTAGACCGAATACGGCCTCCCTCCGGCATGATCTACAGTTACCGATCGTAATTGAGTGTAAGACAACACCGGTTAAGGTTCTGCCATGGCGATATGTTTCCGTGCCTAAAGGCGACTTTTGGAATTCGCCGGCCTCTTGGGCGCAGATAGTCTAGTCGTGGTCTCTTTCTACCGTGACTTCCTCCACAGGAGGGTATTTATAGAAGGAAGAAATTTTGTCCTCCTCGCCACATCGATTTCGTCTTTTTTTTTCTACGTCATGAAATTCGTTACACCAGATTGCCGGTCATTTGGGCATTGAGTTTACTGTTATTTGGCAACATTCTCTTCCGAGCAATACTTATGGAAAATGCAGTTTTTTAATTTTCGCAATTGTAAACATGGCCATGCTTTTATAAATTATAAATCATTATATATCGTATTTTTTTTACTACTACATTATAGAGTTTATACATTTTTTGTCATTATGAGGTATAAAAAAATTCTATTAGAAATATGCGCAGTTTACCATCATTATGATAGTATAGCATTGTGTTTTTGATGTTATGGGTTACAGGATACTTCTATTTTATCCCATTACGTGTTATAGGGCACCCCTTATTTTTCGCCAGTTACTCTACAATAATAACAATCAAGAATTTTCGCCACCAGCAGACAAAGCCTGTTTAGAGAGAGACCACCGTTCTGCATAACGGCGAGGGCAGGGAAAGTATTGAATTTTTTTTTCTTCTTTCTTTCATTCTTTCCCCCGCTGCTGCTGCTGCTGCTTCTCAACCGCGTCTAGCGACAACTAGCCGGGCGAGATTGCACACGCGTTCCAGTCACTGTCTCACCCCTCTCGCTTTCCCCGTCTCTCTCTCTGAACTGTGTGCGAGCGCGAGAAAAATCAATAAAGGTCGTTCGCTCTGGCGTTGACAGACAACAAGCGAGAGTCGACTCGGTACCTGGTTGGCCTCAAAAGTCCCCGCTCGGTGCTGCAAAAGATAGTCGAGTTGCGTAATAAATAAAACAAGTTGCAGCGTAGATACCGTAGCTACCGGTCGAGTATAGCCAAGGCTACATTGCGGTCTGTGGGAGGAGGGAAAGCGACTGACTTCAGTCCCACCACCGGCCTTTATTGATTTTCGTGAAGGAACTGGCTCGGCTAATGGATATGTTGCAGGATTTGTGGAGGGTGTCCCCCACCGTGGTACAGATTGCTGCGCATAATACACCGGATGATGCGGCGAGTGTAGTGCAGTCGCGCCGTTTAAAACCCCTCCAGTTGACGAATAAATAGCGCTTTTTTCCCCCTCCCCTCTCTTCCTTAGCCATTCTTCCCGGATATCATTTTCGACTCGGTGTGATGGGATGGGAGATGAATGCCGACCTCTAGCTCTGCATACATCTGGTAGTTGATTTCGTTTGTGCGTGGAAAAACACCAGTAAATTACGTCCACGTGGGGTATCGCTGCACTCGGCACGGTCTGCTGGAGTGAAATTAATGACGTCGTCACTGTACAAACTATTTTTATTCTTCCCGCGGGGATCATTGAGCTGACCGTTAAAGCTATCTGTGTGGGGCGAAGATTGGGCGGAGGCCCGACTGGTATAAGAGCCCGCGGATTAATGAATGGAAGGAGGAATTTTTTTTCGTCTTCTTTTCCTGTGTGTTTTTGTTTGACGCTCCAACAGTTCGCCAGACATATTTACAGAGATTTGAGAAGGAACATTAGCGCTGGCACTCCCCTTTGTGCTTTGGGTGGTTAAGCAATTGGAACGATTACGAATTTAGTGGATTTAAATTGATTGAAAGGGAGGGTCGCTCTGACAAATAAGATCAAAACTTTCTATTAAAGCTCTGTTTTTTTCGATAATTTTTTTTTTAACTGAGTAATAGCTACATGCTTGATAATATAATAAAAAAGCGCACACATATATATAATCATTTTATGCTTAGTTAACGATAAAGTTTGTACTTTTCTTATTTAAAACTCGATGCGGAAACGTATAATAAGATATATATTATAATGGAAAAGTTTTAAATGTATAATAAAATTACAATTTATTTAATAAATAAATTATTACATATTACTATCTTCTAAAATTATTGTTTAATCAAAGATCGATAAGAATAAAAAAATAAAAATCAATCGTTTAACTCCACTATAATGGTGAAGAGACGAGTCTTGTTACTCGTTAAATTAATTTTATTTTAACTTAACGGTCTAAATTTTATTGTAGTTTGATACAAATTAGATTAAAAAAATTTTTTTAAACGTTACCTCTGAAGTCTCAAGATAATTTTTAATAATAAAAATTTTATTGTGCATTATTTTTTTTTGGTTAAACATCCGTATGTAAAAAAGGTGTTTTCTACTTGCCAATGACTCGTGAAGATCATTTATAAATGGCAGAATGAACAAAGATCAGTGGCAACAAAAAATGAGTTTTGCAACAAACTTCCTGTATACGTTTTTAGGATTTGGGAAATTGGCTAATTGTCGCGTGTGCTGATATTTTAAACATTAAGATTGAATCTATTATTAAACATGTTATTCTTTTAAGTTGTGGATAATTAGTTAAAAACTATTTACGAGGTCTCAGTGTTCAATAAAAATAAAAATTATCATATTATTAAAAACCACTTAAATCTCCCCTTAACTATGAATATTTTTAACAACAAAAATCACAGATTTTTGTTGAGAATATTTTTAACAAGTTGAGAATATTTTTAACAACAAAAATCACAGATTTGTAACTGAATTTTTAACAAGTATATTAGATTTTTATATCGTGAATACTTGTAAAAATTATTTTATGAGAGTACAAAGATCTGTAATAATAAAGGAAGATTTTGCAATAAACTTCCTGTACATTTTTGTATGCTTTGTAGATTGGTTAGTTGTTTATGTCGTGCATCATGTTTGAGGATATTTTAAACAATAAGCTTTAAATGCTTTGTAACGGAGTATTTAATGAGTCAATTAAGATTATATATTTTGAATACATCATAAAAATTATTTTATAAATGAGTGACAAGATCGTTAAAAATAAAAAAAAACATTTTTTTGTGTGTTGATAATTCACTGTATAGTTTTTAAATATTTTTTTTTGGGATTTTAGTAAAGTAACTAGAATATTTTATAAGTAGACGTTTAATTATGTTTTATACTGTTTTCCAAATAGAAAGATTTCAGTTATAAATGTAAACTGCCAACAAAGATCACTATTAATAATATAAAAATAATATTGTGAAAATTCTACTCATTTCCTTTTTATCTCAAAGTATTTTTAGAATTTTGTAACATTTTTATCGCTGTTTAATTCCTTATCCAGTTATCAAAGTAAATATTATGTAACTGTGCTTGGGAAAAAAAAAATATATATATAAGAAAAATTTTCTTTCTTTCTTTTTAATAAATAATAAATTTAATTTATTTAAGAAAATTAAAAAGGTTGAATATTAAAGTTTTTATGAAGCTTTAAAAATCTAAAAAAGAATAAAATTAAGCATTTTATATTTCAGAAGAAGGTTTCCCAAATTCCGATATGTAGTTTTTGTCAAGGTACTGCTAGTAGCAATAGAAATGGAGTTTCTGAAGAACTGTTATCTTGTGTTGATTGTGGCAACAGTGGTAAGAAAGATAGCTTGCTTTTTTATTTTTTTATTTTTTAATTCTTTTCGGATCTATAAATAAATTTTCATAGAGATATTTTAGAAGATGGGTTTATATGTATTGATTTTTCATGCTACTTTTTCTTTCAGAGAATTGTTTATCAAATTAATAAAAATCATTGAGGATTGTAAACAAACGTTTTTAATAGGTAGTTTAAAAATAAATTCTGCAATAGAGTAAATTTAAAAATGAAAAAGTAAAAAAAAAAAGTACATGTTTGAGAAACAAATTTATTTATTTTTTAATATTTAAAATTTAATCTTTTTTCCTTTAGGATAAAATCTGATTAATATTTACAAAAGCTATGATAAATTCAATAAAGAAAAAAAGAGAAAAATGAGATAACATTTGCAAAAAAATTTTATATATGCTATGAAAATATATTAAAAATAAAAAGAAAGCAGAATCTCAATGGATTTTTTTAAAGTAAATGAGTAATTACTTGATAATTAATTGATTTTATTAATGTTTTTGTATGATGGTAAATATTAAGAAAAAAAATACACACACAAATAATATAATTTTACATATTTTTTTTTTAGTTTAAGCAAAAGAATGTAGAAAAGTAATGAATACACAAAAATCTTAATCATATCTAAATTATGAAATATGTAAATAAAAACAAAAAAAAAGAATTTTAAATTATTTATTAATTTAATGTAAAGATAGAAATAGATTATTTAAAAATATTTTAAATGAATTCTGCATTTGTTGATTGCTTATATTAACAATTCAAATTTTACATCCATTATAAATTTTTTATTTACATGAGATTTGCAAAATTAACACCACTTATTCTAAAAGGCAGATGTCAAAAAGTATTTATTATGAATGTTCTAGGTGATCTTTCTACTTCAGTGATTATATGAATATCTGCTGTTATGTGATGCATACAATAAATACATAATTCATAACTGTAACATATGGCTAAAATGGTTGTTCAAATATTAATCTAGAATGGAGTATTAAATAAAATAATAACAATAATATAAAAGCAAGTTTATATGTAAAAAAAAATGATATCTAAGAATAAAAAGATGTAAGTGTAATCAATAATCATATGTACAGTACAGTACATATGCATATATGTATGTATTTATATAAAATCTTCTAGTACTTGATGTTTTAAAATTTTGTTTCTTTTTTTCTGAGAATTGCTAGTAATAATAATAATACTATTTTTTTTAGGCCATCCTTCCTGTTTAAAATATTCAGCTGAGCTGACAGCTCAGATACAGAATACAAGGTGGCAATGTATTGAATGCAAAACTTGCACATTTTGTCACAGAAGGGATCAAGCTGTGAGTAATTTAGAATTATTATTAATGTTATTTATAAATATTATTTATATGTTACCAAAATATGTAAAAGAGATATTTTGTTTTTAAGTTACAAATAAAATTTTATTTTTGAACAAATTATCACATAAACATTAATTTACGTTCATCAATATTAAATTAGAAACTGTTTTGTAAATAATTTGAAGTAATCACTTTTATCCATTTTCCTATTGATTGTAGTATTTTAAACATGATTGATTAATATATTATGTATCTTTATTATAGGAAAACTTGTTGTTCTGTGATGCCTGTGATCAAGGGTTTCATATGGGTTGCTTAAAGCCACCTTTGACTAAAATGCCAAAAGGTAATTAATTTATAAATCAAACTGAATAAGATATTACAAATGAAATATATCATATTGATAACTTTTGATCCATGGATTTGGATGATGGTCAAAGAATTATGCTTTTATTCTAAAGAATCTGTTACATTGTTAAATAAGAGATTAGATTATTTTAGCATTAAATTTGGTTCAGAATTAATATTATTTCCATCAGGATTTCATTCTAAAAGATTTTGACTCGTAACTTTATTATAGAAATATGTTTAATAGTACATAAAAGAAAGTATAATTACAAACTGTTACTTTCTGTATTATAACAAAAGCTTCAAATGGCATATTCAGAAATTAAATAATAATTTTATTAAAATAAATTTTTAATTTCTTTGTAAAATATTTATGTAAATAATAAGTATTAATTAATGGATAATGACTGAAGATTAACTTTTACTCATTTGTTTTAATTTCTGGATATTAATTACAGTTTNAATTTAATTTATTTAAGAAAATTAAAAAGGTTGAATATTAAAGTTTTTATGAAGCTTTAAAAATCTAAAAAAGAATAAAATTAAGCATTTTATATTTCAGAAGAAGGTTTCCCAAATTCCGATATGTAGTTTTTGTCAAGGTACTGCTAGTAGCAATAGAAATGGAGTTTCTGAAGAACTGTTATCTTGTGTTGATTGTGGCAACAGTGGTAAGAAAGATAGCTTGCTTTTTTATTTTTTTATTTTTTAATTCTTTTCGGATCTATAAATAAATTTTCATAGAGATATTTTAGAAGATGGGTTTATATGTATTGATTTTTCATGCTACTTTTTCTTTCAGAGAATTGTTTATCAAATTAATAAAAATCATTGAGGATTGTAAACAAACGTTTTTAATAGGTAGTTTAAAAATAAATTCTGCAATAGAGTAAATTTAAAAATGAAAAAGTAAAAAAAAAAAGTACATGTTTGAGAAACAAATTTATTTATTTTTTAATATTTAAAATTTAATCTTTTTTCCTTTAGGATAAAATCTGATTAATATTTACAAAAGCTATGATAAATTCAATAAAGAAAAAAAGAGAAAAATGAGATAACATTTGCAAAAAAATTTTATATATGCTATGAAAATATATTAAAAATAAAAAGAAAGCAGAATCTCAATGGATTTTTTTAAAGTAAATGAGTAATTACTTGATAATTAATTGATTTTATTAATGTTTTTGTATGATGGTAAATATTAAGAAAAAAAATACACACACAAATAATATAATTTTACATATTTTTTTTTTAGTTTAAGCAAAAGAATGTAGAAAAGTAATGAATACACAAAAATCTTAATCATATCTAAATTATGAAATATGTAAATAAAAACAAAAAAAAAGAATTTTAAATTATTTATTAATTTAATGTAAAGATAGAAATAGATTATTTAAAAATATTTTAAATGAATTCTGCATTTGTTGATTGCTTATATTAACAATTCAAATTTTACATCCATTATAAATTTTTTATTTACATGAGATTTGCAAAATTAACACCACTTATTCTAAAAGGCAGATGTCAAAAAGTATTTATTATGAATGTTCTAGGTGATCTTTCTACTTCAGTGATTATATGAATATCTGCTGTTATGTGATGCATACAATAAATACATAATTCATAACTGTAACATATGGCTAAAATGGTTGTTCAAATATTAATCTAGAATGGAGTATTAAATAAAATAATAACAATAATATAAAAGCAAGTTTATATGTAAAAAAAAATGATATCTAAGAATAAAAAGATGTAAGTGTAATCAATAATCATATGTACAGTACAGTACATATGCATATATGTATGTATTTATATAAAATCTTCTAGTACTTGATGTTTTAAAATTTTGTTTCTTTTTTTCTGAGAATTGCTAGTAATAATAATAATACTATTTTTTTTAGGCCATCCTTCCTGTTTAAAATATTCAGCTGAGCTGACAGCTCAGATACAGAATACAAGGTGGCAATGTATTGAATGCAAAACTTGCACATTTTGTCACAGAAGGGATCAAGCTGTGAGTAATTTAGAATTATTATTAATGTTATTTATAAATATTATTTATATGTTACCAAAATATGTAAAAGAGATATTTTGTTTTTAAGTTACAAATAAAATTTTATTTTTGAACAAATTATCACATAAACATTAATTTACGTTCATCAATATTAAATTAGAAACTGTTTTGTAAATAATTTGAAGTAATCACTTTTATCCATTTTCCTATTGATTGTAGTATTTTAAACATGATTGATTAATATATTATGTATCTTTATTATAGGAAAACTTGTTGTTCTGTGATGCCTGTGATCAAGGGTTTCATATGGGTTGCTTAAAGCCACCTTTGACTAAAATGCCAAAAGGTAATTAATTTATAAATCAAACTGAATAAGATATTACAAATGAAATATATCATATTGATAACTTTTGATCCATGGATTTGGATGATGGTCAAAGAATTATGCTTTTATTCTAAAGAATCTGTTACATTGTTAAATAAGAGATTAGATTATTTTAGCATTAAATTTGGTTCAGAATTAATATTATTTCCATCAGGATTTCATTCTAAAAGATTTTGACTCGTAACTTTATTATAGAAATATGTTTAATAGTACATAAAAGAAAGTATAATTACAAACTGTTACTTTCTGTATTATAACAAAAGCTTCAAATGGCATTTTCAGAAATTAAATAATAATTTTACATGAATGAAGTGGAGCCATTAAAAGGAGCCATTAGTTTTTTTCCTTTAAAATTTTTTTTTTGTATTTTTTGTTGTAATATTTTTATTGTAATTATTGTCGGTATATAGTAGTAAAAGTCAGGTCGATCGGTCTTAGAAGAAAATTGCCATTCAACCAAAGAAAAAGGTGATGAAGGTCGNGTATAATCTTTAGAAAATAACTTTTTTATGTTTTACATTTTAGGTTATTGGAGTTGTAAGTCTTGTGTGAAAAGAAATAGATTAAAAAAGAAACGGTCAAAATATGTCCATGAAATGGCAGTCAGTGTGAAGCAACGCTACAAAAAACGCAGCAATAGCAAACTAAATTTAGGAACATCCTCATGTAAAGGGTTAGTATAAGTTTATTAGTTGTAATTTATTAGGTAATTTAAGTGTATTTTTAAAATTAATTATTCAGAGAACTTTAAATAATAATAATACTGAATTTACTCTTACAGATTACATCCTCTCTCTATCTGTGATCAAACTCATAGTGATTTCAAAAATTCCACACACCAAAGGTTAGAATGATAATTTACTTATTTATCATGCTAACTTTACACAGTATAAACTTATTATGTATATAATGATATTATATTATCCTAATGAAATATTTTGTCTAATTATGCATGATCATATTTAAGAAACAAAAATAATTTCTAACGGAATTGATAGAATATCTAATAAAAGTGAAATTTTAATCATTTAATCAATAATTTTAATTAACTTTTTTTGTGTGTTTAATTCAGGACTCTTAGATAGATATTAATATAGTTTATAATTGCCATTAATCATTTGAATATATACTATTATTATTCTCTCTTTCTAATAAATTTATTTATAAATATGCAAAATGAAGAATATTAAACTTCAGTTTTGTTGTTTACAATTACAGAAATTGATTATATGTATTTAAAGAAGTTTTTAAAAAATATCTTTGTGAATTATTCTTGAATGTTGAAGTAAACAAGAAACTCAATAATAGATTCCTTGTTATAAAGCTAATTATCACACATCAAAAATAAATATATGCCCATTTAATCTACATAATAATTGAATGGATAAATAACAGTTAAGGAACATTAATAATTTGGACTACATTTTAATTTACAATTAAAAAGTAAATGAAATTTGTAAAGTGAACAATGAACAATAAATAGGATAAAATATATAAATTAGAAGTGTAATTTTTATATAAAACTAAGAGAAAAACAATTCAGCAATTATAAGAATCAAATACTAAGAAATCAAATTATTTAATATATTTAAAATATTACTTTTTCACTGAAAAAAATATGTAAGTAAAAAAGACATAAAAATCTAAAAAGTTAATGCTTAACAATAAATTGAATAGATATGTTAACAAGTACAAAAATTAATTTTAAAATTTTCAAATAGTTAGAATTGGATATAAATTGATTAAAATTTTGTTAAAAATGTTAAACAAATATAATTGTAATTTTTTTATTATCTAAATTAAAACTCTTAAGGTAGTTAAATTTTAATTCAAAATTAACAAAAAAAATTACTAAAATGAAATGATAAAATTATAATGAAATAATTTTAATCAATGAAATTTATTTTCTCTCTTTAATTCAAAAGTAATTTAGTTAATCAAGTTAATAATGATTAAATAACAAAATCTATTTGCAATAAATAATCTGTTTTTAATTGTAGATATGTTTAGTGTCTGTAATTGTTATTATTATGTTGTTATTATTATTATTATTATTATTTCACAATCACAGTTAATAAGTCTTTATCCATTAAACAAGTGAACTGCATTTAAATATTACTAATTAAAGTAAATATTTAAACAAAAAGTTTATATTTTTAAACTTGAAAAAAAGATGTTATTTGCTTGTTAAAATTTACACATCAAACAAAAATGAAACATTTTCAAAGAGAGAAATTGTTTTTAAAAGCTGTTTAATTCATTTAAAATTTTTAGCAGAATATACTTATAAATAGTTCAAAGTAGGTTAGCTTTGCTAAAAAATTGCCCCAATTTTAATAAATCAAATCTTTATGATGTAGTAAAATATACAAATTATGGTAATTCTGATTAATTTCTTTTAGAAATTATTGATTGATCATAATCATTGATCAATAATTTCTAAGAGAATCCCATTGGACACAGAAATTAAAACTTTGATATAAAAATATATGAATATGATATTTTGAAATTAATGTTTTAATTTACTTGTTTATAGATTATATAGTTGTAAAACATTAAATGTGTTTTTATTAATAATATTTTATAATTAGCAGCTTAAAATAAGAACTGATATTCATTCTCACACTATTATAGAATTTTATTCTATAACAGTGTGAGAATGAATTTCAGTATACAGTACTGGACCAGAAATCTGGAATTACCAGAAAATGGCTTGTTTTGAATTTGGTAGGTTGCAGTACCAATGTAGTTTGCTGTGTGGCTACTTTGTTTTGTTTTCCATGGTGTACAGTATATGTTGCACAACACCAGTTCCAGTGTAGCTACTGGCATATGATGTGTTAAAAATAGTTTTGTTCTTTAGTTTTTTACTTTTTATTTTATATTTTAAGTATAAATTTAGACTTTGTCAAGAGAACTAGAAAATGTAGAAATCAACCTCTTCTGGTCCAAAGCTTGCTGGACATTTGGTCCGGTACTGTGTAAAAAGAAAATATTCTTAAATTATTTTTATAGGCTCAGTTAAGAAAAATTATTCAATTCAATTATTTTATTTTCAGACCATCTGGTTCCCGAATTTCACAGAAGCAAGTTAGTGGTGATAAAAGAAAATCAGAAGAAGAACAAATATCATCAAATGTTCCTTGTAATGGTACTACACCATTTTCTTCATCTTCTCAATCTTCCACTGATGATGGAATAAAACTTTCTGATAGTAAAGATTCCATAAATGATGTATCCAATAATGAAATGCCAAACCAAATATCAGTAATATTAAATAATTCATCACTTCCTTGTAAACCAAAGGGTCTAATTGATGGCCTCAGTAAATTTTTCACTCCATCAAACAAAAGAAAGAGTAGAGTTGTTAGCACTGATGAACCATCAACTTCAGTGGCCAGTATCAATCATCAACAATCTATCCAAAAACCCGAAGATCAAACATTAAGGCGAAAAAATGGACAATTGTTACCAGAAAAAGATATTGCAAATATCAAAATCTCTACAACTAACAATAAATCTCAAGAACTGTGCCAATTATCCATATCTTCATCTTGTGGATTAAATAATCAGTCATTATTAAGGCTTAGTCCACCTTCTTTCATATCATCAATGTCATCGTCAAGTACTTCTTCTTCTTCATCAGCGTCTACGTCATTATCAGAAACTTCATTGAAACATGGAGGTAGTGGACAGTTAAAGAGTCTTTTCGATGGACTTTCTCATCTTTATACTACACCTAGTGATTCTCGAAAACGTGATAAAACGACTGCACCCAATTATGCTCCTCCAAAACGGTTGCGGAAAGCTCTGTCCACGGACAGTGTTAGTGATATAGTTACAGTGTCATCTGGTCTTTCTCAAGGAGCCAAAAAAGGCATACCTCAAACAACAATGGTACAGCCTTTGACTGAAAAGACAAAATCCATGACATCAGGAAATCCTCCCAAAGAAGAAAATACAATTAACACCACACAACTTAATGTTCATCCTTCCTCACAGTTTTCTGCTACACCAACATCATCTCAAGGACCACAAAAGAAATCTTCTTCACCTATTCAGGCAGCTTCAAATCTAAGTCCATTACACTCATCATCAAATCATTTGCCAGCTGTGTCAAATGCAAATACTGATTCTGCTTTGTCAAATCCTTCAATGGATACATCCTACAAAAAGATGAAAAAATGTTATAGATTTTATGGTAAGTTCATAATTACACTTTTATTTGCTATTTAAGTCATTATAATTTATTACTGTAACATTTTATAATGTGTGAATTAATAATATGGAATTAATGAAAAAACCAATTTTAAAATTGTAAAATTATATAATAAGTATATATAATGTTTTATTGTAAATATTTTCTATGAATTTATTTATAGTTTAAATTCTGGTTTAAAAAATTTATTTAATCAGTGTTTTTAAATTTTATTAATCTAATAATTAATGTTAAATGTATACTTCAAAATAAATTTTTATCTATATTTTCATATGTTAATATCGATCTAATCAAAGTGTTAGTATATGATGTGTGTGTTGTGTTGTTAATTTTTTAACTTACATTTTATTGTATTAGATTAAAAAAAAAAAAGTATATTACAGAAAATAAATTTCTATAAATGTATTTAATTTATTAAATATGTTTAAATATGTTATAGAAAATAGTTAGAAAATTTCAAAAAGCATATGAATTCAAACAGTTGGTCTGGTAATTTTTAAATTTTTGGTAAGATAAAAGTAATTATTTTAAGAGCTACAAAAATGCATTCACACTTATTTTCAATATCTTAAAGACTGCTTTCAAAATAAATGCATTTGGTACAGGCAAAAAATTGTGTTTAATTTGTAAATAATTTATTAAATTAATCATTAACAGAAGCTATCATCATTTTAAAGGATTTTACAATTAAAGTAGAGTTTTTGGTTATTAAAGAAATTGTTCATCAAAAATAATTTCAATATGAAATGGAAAATTAAAAATTATTAATGCATAAAAACAAAGTTCAGTATTAGTGATTAACATGTAAATTGTTTATAGTTTTTCACAATATAGATACATTAATTATTTTGTTTTTGTTATCATTGATTTTATTTTTAAACTTCAATTTTTTCATATGTTATACTTTTTCTTAAATTTTTATTTCATTATGTAATTTTAAATTCTGCATTTTGGCTTAAATTAGAATTTGATTTAATTGTGAACTTAGCAAAATCTTTATTTAACTTTTACAATAATTTGTATTAATTGTGCTTTTTTTAATTTGACAAGTGTTTAAATATACCTTTCACTTTATAAAATACGTAATATCTTAAGACATTTAAATTTAATAAGTAGTTACTTTCCAAGAAAAAAATTAGGGGGAAAAATCATTTTTACAAGTAAAAATTCTAATCTTCCATTTGGAGACATGCAGTGGTGACGATAATATTCAGAACAGATCTTTGCCAATAGAATTGTCTAGTATAGACCTAGAAAGAACAGAGTCGCCATTTAACAGATAGAAATTTAATAAAATCACCATCCCAACCGAATTTTCATTCCATTAGGATAATTAAGATCTGCTATTGATAAGTATTTTCAATTATTATTATTATTATTCAGAGATATTGCAAGAGGTAATTTTAGCAAGGTAGCAACACATCAGTAGATAATCAAATGACAACAAATAGAGGAAAATGTTTTTAGGCAAAGATCCTTGAAAGTTTAGCGATGCGACTCTCGCTGAGTCATCGACTTTTAGATGAGTATACGTGATAAATGAATTTTGTGAAGAACATCATTATATCCAGAGATGGTTTGCAGACATTTAAGTGGAAAATAAGATTTTCAATCCTTTTTTTTTCCTCTCTCTCTGTGCTTTGTACTATTTTTTTTAAAAGTTAAACAATATTGTTTTTTAGTGACTTTACCATGAAACAATTACTTATCAAATTTAATCGCGTCGCTAGAACTTCCGATTTTTAAAATTTTTAACCGTTATTTTTATTGCAAATTAGATAGATTTAATGTGTGTGGGGGCAATAAAAACATATATTTATTGATATTATATTTTTTAATTAATTATTTACGTACTTAAATAGACTTTTATAACCTAGACGCAGTGACAAATTGAGTAATTTTTGAAAATCATCATCATCGTCATAATTACTATACTCGAGAAATGTATTACTTCCTCACGTAATCTCGGCTCGTACTGTACTTGAATGTTAATGTGAGAAAATTTTCTATGGCCGTCCTACGGTTGCCAATTATCAGGCATTGTCCTAAATCTCGATCTACAATGAGTTGTAGGTGGGTTTACAACATTATTTCACGATATTTAGATACGGTAGGATAGTTGAAGTATTTTTTTTATTATTTCCCCCCTCTCTCTCTGACAAACATTAACGCTTGCTGGATGACTATCCGGAAATCCTGACTCACACATTTGTTACTGGGATCATAAATATGACAGCCCCCTAGTACCACCCCTGTAGTTGTATCAGAATAATTGGGAATACTGTTTGCGGATGTTTAGTGAACGGTGGGCACCACCTGCTGTCTGGGTCCGCGGGGTTTCCTTTGTCCCCTGGGTAGTCTTTTTACGGTGGGTAAACCTCCCTGTACACTCTGTACTACGCCAACTGTTGTTTGTTGACGAGTCGCAATTGGAAAAGTACACGTACTAAACGAAGAAAAATGTTACATTTTTTCATTTTTTTTACTTTTAATGTATTCCAGATGCGCATCTGTCATATTCTCAGCACTAGAAAAATTACGTATATAATCCCTTATCTTGTAAGAAATGTTTTAACGAAACGGGCTAGGTTTTGCTAAATCATACGACACGTGTTTCTCTCGTTTAGCGAATATATTCGCCAATGTTTAATGATAAATACCGTTTAGAAAACTTTTTTCCCTTACTGTTGAAGCGTTAGATGATACGATATCTACAACAAATTACTCGGTTCTTGTACCATAAACTGGTGATGAACCGGTCACGTTGCTCAAACTCGCCACGGAGCAGATGTTTGTCGGCGAAAAGGACGTGGCAATTTTTTATTATCGACTTACGAGGTTTGTTTATACGAAGGAGTTAGAGTTTCGTTCAGTAAAATTCATTTTCACTTCCTGTTCGGATGTATTTTTAAGCCACGTGCATCGTGACATCTCCGTTAGCGTTGGGTTTGCGCCGTAGAGGAACAGCCAAGAATCACGACGGAGCATATCATTACGATCTTCCAGCCGCTTTACAGAAAAGCGTGCCCCGAATTGGCAATGAGTCAGTCTGGCCAGGGCAGCTGCACATCGGCTTCAACTAGCACAACTAACAACCCCAGGTGCCCGAGGGAAGGGGGGTCGAAAAAAGGGATATTGCGACATCTGCGCTATAAACTATGCCCTCATTTTGCTGTTTCTCACCCCAATGTTCCCTCTCACGAAAACGGTTATCGTTCGTTCTATTGAAGTTGACCACATTCATTGGTGTCAAGTTCATTCTATCTGGAATATTTTTTTTATTTTTTATTTTTATTATAAGGTTGATTTTTTCCCGTCTATATCTTTCCCTCTCACTGTAAAATATTATTAGACATATGATGTTTTAACATTTGGCGTTATTGATTACTCTAGCAAAAGGTTATTTTTAGAAATCTAGAGGGATTATGTGCGAATAAAATTTATATCTTGACATCACAAAGAATTAATTATACATCCAGTTTTAAAAGATATAAAATAAAATAATGATGTTTTTGAATAAGTTATGAAATACACATTTATTCTAGTTTTAAATATTACTTTAACTTAAATGGGATGACTATAGATTTGACTTTATAAAAAAAAATGTTCATCTATATATTTTTGATTTATAAAATTCTTTTTAAGGTTATTAACCTTACTTGAATAGAAATACTTGAATATTTATTTTTAACAATTTAAACTCACATATATTCATAAAGTCAAATGAAACTTAAATATAATAAAAGCAATTTAAATTTATTTGAAATTTTAAATATCCAGAAATCATAAAGGTTCAAATAAAAAAAAAACTTAGAGAATAAAATAAAATCTTAATACTACATTTGAAATTAACAGTATTTTATTTGAATTTGTAACATCATTAACTTACTATAAATGTACTTTTCAATAAGATATTAGTTATATAAATTTTATTTAAAATAAATTACATTATGATATGTCTTGATTTATGAACATTTTTATACAATCAAAACTGTATATATTTTTAAACAATTTTATATAAATTTATAAAGTTGTACTCTAGTTTATAGGATACTATTTGTATTTATATAATTTTAATTTATATTTTAAAAAGTTCAAGATCTACTGTTACAAGAATTCAATTTTTTGATTATCCAAAAAATTTGAAATCTAGTTATATTTAGAAAAATAATATTAGAAAAATAAATAGCTGTTAAATATATTCATAAGATGTTAAGAACAAATTTGAATTATTAATTTTTATTCAATTTGTATTTTCAGTTTTTCAATTAAATTTTTTTAGGCATATAAATTAAAATTCATTTTAATGTATTATGTTAATGTAAAATATTCTGTAAGAAGTTATGTTTAACCTTTTTAAAAGTTTTAAACTCAATTCAAATCAGTTTTTGAGTTTTATCAGTTTTTTATTTGAAGTTATAATGACCTGTTTAACATTATAATGCTTCATTAAATTTTATATTTCAATACATCAGATACTATATGAAATTTATATAGCTACTTTATAATTTCATTATAAAAAAATATTTATAACTTGCAGTACTATTTAAATTATTATGCTCTATTATTATCTTATAAAGTTTTACTTAAATTTACAAAACTTCAAAAAAAAAGATTATGTATTCTGAATTGTCAAAATTTCTTCTACTTTATATAAAAATTCCATTTTTCAATTTTACTTCAGTTTTATAAGAAGAAGAAAAAAAGAAATGAGATTTTGTAGAAACTTAAATGGAATTTCATATTAATAAATATTCTTTATTAATAATTACTGTAAGTTAATTTATTAATATCAGAATGGAAAGCTACTTAATTTTCTGAATTCCATCATTCCAATAGGTTTATTTGTTCTACTTTTCCAAGAATAGGTGTTTATGTATTTTTTTTAAATAGAATTTATAGCACTAAAATTAGTTTTATTAATTGAATTACATGTTCTGTTCATTAATAATAAATTATCCTAGGAAAGAGTCATTATAAAAATATTCACAGTTTACATAAAATAACTTTTCAATGCATTAAACACATGACAAAGATATGCTACTCCTGAAACACTAAAGTTCAGTTGAGACTAATTACATTATTTTTATTAGTCTTCTTTTAAAAGAATTTATTACTCGTTAAGCAGCTGTTGAAGAAGCACAAGTCATGCAGCATTGTGTAGATAATTGTTATTGTTTTCCTGTAGGAGTTAAAAAAAAAAGTTTGTTGTATTGTTATAGAAAATTATACCTTTTGCAATAATTTCTGAATAATTTTAAGAACAATGTTTAAATTAAATGAAAGGTTAGCAAGAATTGACAAATTTAAATATGATACACAGTATGAAAATTAAAGATTGAAACCCTTTGATTTCACATCCTTGGTATCTGTTAATTACTAGATCACAAAAACCCAGCAGAAAGTTGCATAAATTTCCCAGCTTCACTGGGAAAAGTTTGCAACAAGCACTTTCTTCGGACTCCATTTGCCAAAAGTTATGTAACTCACCACCCATGTTTTTAGAAGAATTTGCTAGAACAAAGTCTACTAGATGCATATTTTTATTTATTTTGGCTAATAATTATTTAAAATAAAACTGCATGCTGCCATCTGTTATGAGATGTTATTACAAAATAACTTTAATAATATTAATTATTATAAAAGGCAAAAAGGCTTAACTTTGAGAATAGAAATGAATTTTTCAAAATTATAAATGCCAATGAGTAAAATTTTCATTAAGTCTGATCCCACTCAAGATATGACACATGATCCCCTCTATCTTCCCATCCCCTCGACCATTAACCACCAAAATTTAATAGCATCAATGCTTCTTATATATGAGTTATCATGCTAAATTTCATTTCTTAATCTTCACTCCTATCTGAGATATTAAAAAACTAAACACCAACACACACATACACAGAATTGCCCCCATTTTTTTGTGTTCAAGAGATCTCAAAATATTGAATTTTCAAAAAACCCAGGGGTTCAAATATGACACAATTACAATACTTTCCCATGTTATATCCATAACAGTCAGGAAAGCAAATATGTAAGAACAGAGAAGCAGTCAGACATTTTCCATCAGCATAATGAAACAAATTTCTGTGTTTCACTTAGATAATTTCATTCATTACTTAATNAAAAAACATTTAATTTTAGAAATAATATTAAAATAATAAAATAATTTTTTATGTGAAATTCTAATACTACTAGAAATTTCTATTTATTTAAGCATTATTTTCATTTTGCATTAAAATGTAACTATGATCAACTTGCAGAGTCAATAACATTTAGTTATATAGAAAATTGCTGTTTCAGTGCAGAAAGTGCTGTTATGTTGTGTCAAATCAAAGTTACTTATTTTAAACTACTCAGTAATTTGTAGAATAAATTATGATTTAACTGATACAATAAATATTGTTGTTAATGTTTTTGGTTAATTTTACATAGCAACAAAATCTGACTATTTACAAGCTAAACAAGATCAATAAATTTATATTTCATTCTCTTTGAGGTTATTCAGTTTTTGTTTGTTCAGAATAATAAAGTGAAAGAGAAAAATCTATGATTATGCAAACCTTGAATTAGGTTATTGCTTCTTTCATTTAACAGGTTAGAAATACTTAATGAATATAACAGATTTATTTCAAGGACAAACTTTATTTTTTTGTATTTTTCAAACTGAAATGATATACTGAAATGAAGTTATGAAATTAATTATAATATACCTGTATATATTTTGTGTAATTTAAAGTTAATTTTATTAATAGTCAATATAATATTTATAATCAAAAATCATTTTCTCTTATAATGCTGTAGAATATTTTTAATGTATATATAGTATTATGTAAGTATTTGTTGTTGATGTTTAAATAAAAAAAGTTTCTTATTTTAAAGATAAAATGATTTACATTGTTGCCTTCTGTGCTGGTTGTTTTAACTATCAAAGGCACATTAAATGTTCATCATGTAAATGCTGTGCTGAACAAATATATCCCCTCATTTAGGTTTATTTACTCTTTATATTGAATGCTTGGAAAGTTCTTTCTCTCACTTTTGTGGCATAATAAGGATCATCTTGTGATTCCCTGGGGTTATGACCCACATTTGTAAACCAATGATTTATTTATGGTTTGAAAATAGACTAGAATAACAAATAACATAAAATTGTCAACACTTAGTAGATAAAGTTATACTATTTATTGCTTTAAATTGATTCTGGATTCAAAAATTTTAGAATGGAAAATATATCTTAGTTGTCTTAATTGTATTAATTTATCATTAATATTGTAATTAGGATTTTATTTTAATTTATATTATTTGTGTAGTGTTTCTACAAAGCTGTACAATAGATTATTCAAAATGTTAATAGAAATTTATATTTATTAAATATAAGTCTACTAATATAAAATTTTTTAATTATATAATTTTTAATGATTATTAAAACATAAATGATTTTTCTTAATAGTGATAAATTACAATTATATAAATTGTGTAAATTTTATGAGTTAATATAATTTAAATTCATATTTCTTAATTATCTAATGTCTGTTACAATTTTTTCCCTAAAATATATATTAAATTATTAATCAGTAATAATAAATTTCACATCATAGGTAATAGGATAATAAATTTTTATTTTGAAATTAACATGTAAAGTGTATGTGAAGAATATTATATATTATGATTTATTTTTCTAATTAGATGATTTATTCTCTCTTCCACCAAAACAACAATTACGGGGAGTGAGTGAAAAAGATATTTTATTATTTAGAAAGGCTCAGGAAGCTGCTATGAAAGTAAGTTTATTTATGGAAGGATTTAATTAGTCTTGACTTTTTTAATTTTTGAAAATTCTACAAAAATTTAATTAATATTAAAAACTTTGTGGAGTGTTATTGAATTTTTAATTTTTCTAAACCAAAATTATGAATGTTTTTATTTATACTTCTTAATATTTTTTTAGGTAATTGGACAAAATATATTGCCAACAGATGTTCAAACAAGACATCCAACTGTGATTGAATTTGGAAAATATGAAATTCAGACGTGGTATTCGTCTCCTTATCCTCAGGAATATTCTAGGTTTGTTGAGAGATTTTAATATTTAAACAGTTTAATTTATAATACTTTAAAAATGAAAATGCAACATGTTTATTCAAATTTCAAAACAAAAACAAATGAATAATTTAATAGATTGACAATTTAAATATTTTAAATCTCAAAACACCAAGAGTTTCTTTTGAATTTAAATGGCATAAATTTTAATAGACCAGAATATTGTATATCCAAGCTATCTAAATCCCCAACTTGTACTGGAATAAAATAATAATTCTGAGAATGTAGAATTCTCTATTGAGTATAACTCACTTTTCACTCACTTGGTTTTCTTTAATAAAATAGAATGAAATCATAAAATGTTAACAAATATTTAATGTCAATAAACATTTTATAATATTTAAATAATACTATATGATCTTATCAATTTATTATTTTAAGATTATATGTGCTTTAAAAAATTTCAGATACTAATATATTTTAATACATGTATATAAAAGTCAATATAACCCTAAATAGTGTTGACAAATATCTTCCAGATGTGAAAGAATAAAAAATCTTTATAAACAAAACACTTTAAAAATTATTCAATTTTTTTACAGAATTCATATTTCATATCATAATTTTAAATAAATATCAAATATAATCTTATAAAAATATAAAAAATTTTATATTAAATCATCATTAATCTATAATAAACAGTAAACTTATTTTAGTGAACTTTATATATAAATAAGAAGTTATTAACTGACCAAAAGTATTTTATAAGTTTTAGTGCATTTAAATAATATATAGCATTGCATATTAGACACATTAATGTATAATATATTTATAATTATTTATAATAGAATTTTCCGTAAACATTTTAATTTTGTTAAAAATATTATTAGCCTTTAATTGTAAATTATTATAAATATTTAAGATAATATATAAACCTAAAAATTTGTAAATTTTTAATTTTTCAAATATTGAATAATAAAATTATACATTAAAATATAATATTTAATAATAAATTTATATTCTTATATGTATATAAAATTATAAATATATTTATTTTTGTCTTCCTTTTTAATAGTTTGTACTTTATTTTAATTACATTGTTACAGTACTTCATGAATACATTAAATAATAATGTTGAATTTATACAGTAGAATCTATTTATTGTAATCACTTTCATATTCATCCATAGGATATTGTCAAAACATGTTAAAGCAATTAAAAAATATATAACTCGAAAATTTATTTATTATACTATTATTAACTTACATATTTGGGATATATTAATTTTGATAACATTAAATGACTGATGATAATATATGTAATTACAGTAAATGGGTTATACTGTATTTACAGTGTTTCAGAATAGCTTAATTGATATTTTATTATATGTCTTCAAAAAAATTTTAACAATCTAGTTATTATTTAACAACTGAAGATTTGGAAAAATGAAGATTGAAATTATAACATGTTCAGTTTACATTTATAAGTTTTAAATTTAATCACTCAATTACTTTTTCCAATTACAAAATAATTCATTGCTCTTTAATGTAAAAATAGAAATAACTTTATTAAATTTATTACAGAATTGTTATATAACACTAACAACTTACAAAAATGTACAACCTTTTTCAAGAAATCAAATAATGTTTATTTGACTTCTTGAAGGTTTTTACATTGTTAGCATTACAGTATTATATAACAGGTTATGGAGGTATTGTTTTCTTGTTTAGAATACAATTCTTTACAAAATTAAATATTTTATCATAATGAAATTATTTGTTTTTTCATTTAATAGATAATTATTCTGATTTTTCCCAAGTGAATAATTAATTAAGCAAAATTTAAAATTGTAACATAACAATAATAATAATAGTAAGGGGTGTAATTATATTTAGTTTTATTTTATTCTAAAATATTTCATATATAAAAATAGTGATGCTAGAAATGCCGGATTAAGTTGTTTATCATCATCATCATCATCATCATCATCATCATCATCATCATGTATATAAATTATACAGATTTAATCTGTAACTATATATATATTTACAGATGTATAAATTATAGGCCTTTATAGATCTACATATTACATAATACATATTTTAAGATATCTAATTTCATTAGGTATCATCTATATATATAAAAATGAATGTGTGTGTGTGTGTGTGTGTGTCCTTCGTGCATTACCACACCGTTTATCCGATTGCCGTGAAACTTTGGGAAGTTGTTTAATATACTCCGGCGAAGATTTGTGGCATAGTACGATTGCCATAAAACTTTGGAAAGTTTTTTAATACACTCCCGCAAAGGTTTTTGGCATAGTACATTTATCTTACGATAGATGGCGCGCGTTTACACGAGCATTCGAGCATAGTGTGTTCGATCGATTTCAAATTGTGAAGACCATTTCCCCCTTCAAAAAATATTTCTATATATGCATTTGTGAACTGTTATTTACGATATT